GGGGGTGAAGGAGGTTGATGAATGACGGAGGGCTTCCTGGGAGAGGACTCCCTCCTCCTCCACTTGCCTTGCCCCTGTTCCTGCCACTCACACACAATTTCCCCCCCATGCTCCTCATCCCCAATGCAAGTGGCCCCTAAAATGCCAAGCACAACTCTGTGCACCTTCTTTAATCCTCATAGTAACCGGAGTCACTACTGCATCCATTCTGTAGATAATCAGAGAGGTAGAGACACCTGCTCATGGTCACACAGCCAGTCAGGGGCAGAGGCAGGATTTTCACCCAGGTGCTCGTGATTCCCACCCCCAGGATCTGATTCCTTGCTCTCTCCTGCCTCCCTGGGGGATGTGTCAAGCTCTGAATCTGCTGAGTCCTCACATGCAGTCCTCTGAGGCAGGCCTGTTGTCATCCCTGCTTGGAGCTGAGGAAACAGACTTAGAAAGGAGTGATTTGGCCCAGGCCATGCCCCAGAGGTCCTGCCTCAGAAACCTCCACTGAGAAGTTCTAATGCCCTCACCAGCCTGCTTCCTGCTTCCTGTTGCCTGCTGTGGGTCCACTCAGGCCTTAGGATCAGGGACTGAAGGGCTGGGGCCACAACCAGACACAGACCCTGGAGCCCCAGCATCTGCCTCTGAGGTTTCCAATCTGGCAGGTCCTTAACTCACTCAACACATATTGCCTGAGCGAGCCTGACCGGCACGTTGGAATTAACTAGGTCAGCGTCTTGGGAGAAGCAGCATCTGCCCCTCAGCCCTGTGGCCCACAGGTCGCCAGCAATGCACAGCATGTTGGAACTTCCAGGTCTCAGGTCCTGGGTCTGCCACTTAGCAAGCCAGACTCTCAGAACCTGGCTCTGAAAGACCGGAAGTATCATAGTGACCCTCAGGACTGGGACAGTGACGGCCCTGCTGTGTCCCCAGCACCTGGCACAGGCCACTGGTGCTCCTTGTTATTGTTGAATGGATGCATCTAAATTCACCACCTCCACCGCCAGCGGGGTGCAATCGGGAGCCCCAGTTCACAGGTGAAGAACTGAGGCCCTGAGAGCATCACGCGGCAGGAAGGAGGATTCAGGACGTTTGAGTCAGACGCTGAACCCTCAGACCTGAGAAGCCCACTTCACTGGGCCTGCTTTCCTGTGCGGTGGCTTAGGCCAGAGGCCACGGAGCCAGGCTCTGGTCCTCATTACTCCGCGGGACGCAGAGAACTGGAACAACTGGCAGCAAAACCTTGGCGTTGAACCTTTGAATTGTAAACACTTGAGCTGGAAGAGCCAGGGAGGCTTCTTGAGTTCTCCAAGTGAGGTGCCCAGATCCCCCCCGAAGCCCCCTAAGGGTGGGACCTGGGAACTTGCATTTCTGTAAGGTGATCAGTGTCCACCAAGAGCTGAGACGCCGGAGGGCTCAGGTGTTCTCCTGTGCTGGACCCCAGCCTGTTACCCTGGAAAGGGAGCTGGTGGGCATGGGCCCCAGAGGCAGGCCCCCCATCCCAGAGCCACCTCTGAGCCACCATAACAGGAAGTCCCTCACCCTGCCCTTCTGAAGGAGCCCATGTGGGTCTGGTTTCAGCTTCTGAAGTCACCCTCAATAACTCGCTTCTATCACCATCTGAATTCGTTGTGCTGACTTTTTTCTCTCTACTGGCCTTAAAATCCAGTCCAGCTAGATTTCCCATCGCTCAAGGCTGTGTCCCTGTCCCAGCATTCGGCACGTGGCCTGGCACGTAGCAGGTGCCTAATGGCAATAGCCCAGGGATCTGGGGCTCCCATTACATGCCAGGCGGTGTCCTAAGTGCTTGGCGTGGGGGTGAAGGATCACGCGGACCGCAGTCCCACGGGCCGCAGAGGAGGGAGCCGAGACAGGGCGAAGCCTGTTCATGAGCAGAGCTGGGGACTGGAGCCAGCCTGGTCGCCTGCCTCCTGACAGAGGCACCCGACGCACTGCGCGTGTTGGCAGAGTCTGGCCCTTCCTGCAGGGAGCAGAACTTGGACTCCAGCCCTCCCCCCTCCTCACAGCTTCCACCTGCCGCCCCCTCAGGCCCAGCCCCATGGTGACTCCGGGGAGAACCCACGAAGACGCTGCGCCCCAGGAAGCTGCTCGGGGTGTCAGGCAGGCGGCCCGGGGCCCAGTCTCGCACTTACTTGTAGCCCACGTCGCAGAAGCCCAGGGTCTGCTTGTGGTAGTGCTGCACGTTCTGGGCCTGCTGCTGGCACAGGGCCGGGGTGTCGCAGGAGCTGCCCGCCGTGTGCGACACCACCACGTAGCGCACCGGCACCTTCAGTTCCTGGCTGCACTCGGACGCCTGGGCCTTCCACTCTTTGCGGGGCACGATGGGGCCGCAGCAGGCCGCGTCTTCTTTGGCCTCTCCGAGTTCCAGCAGGGCCAGGAGGGCCCAGGCCAGCAGCCAGCGGGGCGGGGACATGGTGACCGGGCACGCAGGGTCGGCAAGGAGCGCGGGCTGGCGGGGCCTGTCTTTATGCGCTGGGCTGGGCTGGGCT